ATGTCATACTCATATAAATTCGCCATCGACAAACGTTTAGATAATGAAGATAACAAATTAGAAGCACATAGCAATTCTCAACATTTTATTTTTTATTTATTTATACAAATATTATTTCTTTAGTACACAAATCTACATACATATGTATTTACGTACATATAAGTACATATACTAGGTATAAGTTATATTTTTCTTTTTTATCTTATAAATTACAAAACAACGATTGCACGATTATAATTTTTTTAATAAGGCCAAGATTGCATTGTCATTGATTGCCTTGAGTTACATCATTTCCTCAAGGATATACTTAAGGTTATTAGTATAATACATATAAATACATTTGCAAACAAATTCAGTTTTGTCTTTTGCTTGTTTCATTCGCGTGGCGCAAATATCAAATCACATAAAATATAAAACAAATATCACTTATAGTGTTTTCGTTTCTAATAAAAAACGTCGCCATTTGATTGCCCCTTTCTCTTATCGTGTTCGATTCTAAAATAAAGGCAAACAACGGTGAGCAAATTTTATGTTCGTTTCTTAAAATTTCACACTCTTGTAAGGCAAAAAAAATGCACATTCTCTGCCCTTTGAAGCTTTGTGAGGAGAGAGAGATAGTGTCCCTGACAATCAGATAGTTACTCAAAATGGCAATATTATGAAATGAGTGAGATTGACAAGGAAAAGGAGGCAAAACAGGCCCTTTTACAGGTTTGAGTTTAACAAAAAACTCATTTTGCACCATCGAAGGGCAACATTTTTTGAAAGAAACGAAATCACCATTAATATACTTACATATGTTCATATACTGTGGTGTATAATAACAAAACGATATGTCTCAATGAAAGCACACCCCGTGGCAAAATTATATGCGCACCACATATTTACAAGTTTTAAGAATTTATTTTGTTATTTAATTATTGTTATTTTTTATAAAAAATATAGTTTATTCTTTAACAAAACCTGTATAAATCCAACTTTCGTCATAATTTCAAGTTTTTTAATTCGATTTCAACCAGTCACTTTGAATTGAATTTGTATGGGGTTGAAATTCACTCGGAAGTGTAATTCGGGATCTGCCTGAATATATCATTTTGACACAGGGTGTATGTACGTATTCATATGTCAATATAAGCGCATGTGTCTACAGGAACTTTATATGTGTTTTATTTGTTTAAGCGTCGTTTGGCTAATAGTTGATAAATACCAATCGCTGCTGAGAGTGTGCCAATGGCACCCACTTGGAATGTGGATAATTTGCCTCCCCAAAGATAGCCTTTTGGTAGAGTGCTGACGGCATGGGCGAAATCAAGTGACAGTCGAAGTACGGAGAGTAGTTCTAGGCGATGTTTTTTGAGTAATTTTTCATTTACATGGGTTCTGGAAAAAATAAGATTTTTTACGATGCAAAAAAATTTTATAATACAATTAATATTTAAATAAAAAACAACCGCCTTCAATGCTCATACAAAAATTTAGGAGTACCGTTAGATTTCATTAATCGGAACTAAACCAAATTAGTTTGTCAAGTGAGTGATCGAGGTTGCGAAGGCGTTGAAAGGACCGGTGGGTGGTGCGAGCGCACCGCAATTAGCTGGAACTCCCTTTAGAAAAGAGGCCCGTTGTCGTGGACAAAAGCACCAAAAACGCACCAAGAAGCAAACTCAACAATTTTCGAGTTTTGAATACGCACTTAATTTTGTGCGAAAAGGGCCAAGTTGGCAACAGTGAATGTAAAGAAAAGTATTGTGTGACGAAGAAAGGGTTAGCGGTGCGCGAAGCTTGGGGTCAAAGCTGACCTTGTTAACGGCAGTTTACATACAACTTTTGTTTCACTTTGCTTCAGAGTTCCGCTTTGACAAAGAGGTTCAATACATGATTTTATAGGAGTGTTCTTAAATAGCAGCAAGCGAGGAAAGCAAAACTCAGCAAACTCTCAACTTTTGCGCGCTCTAGCAATCAGCTGTTTATATGTATCTTTTCTCGCGCACTCGCATTCGCATTTAACACACAAAAATAAGGTAAATATGAATTATTATTGTTAGCATTAATGCATATTATTATAATGTTATCTATCTTACACAGATAAATTATGGAGAGAAAAGATAACGCAGCAGCTGTCAAAGCTTTTATTGTAGCACACCTTCTACGCTTCACGCTTTGTTGTTAAAGTTCGAACTTTCAAGCAAGGCGAGGAAAGTCGTATGTTAACAGACCTTTATGCGAAATCGGCACTTCTCTGGAGCGTGGTCGTATACGACCTACAAGAGGACTGCGCGAATAGATATAACCTTTGTTTCAAAGTTATTTTCTGACTCTATTAAACCATACCTAAGCCCAATGTGTTTTTTGAAATCCTCGTCTGGTGGAATCCACTAGAGGAGACTACATCAGTCAATAGGAAAGCGGCATCGTTTAACTTTTACGCGAAGGGGTTGAAGCTTTACGGAAGGGTAATTGGAGATGTCTTTTTCAGGGCATATGCCACTGCGAAGTCGTTCTTACGAGGATGGACTGAGAACGGTTTAGGAATTTTCTTAGTCTCGCGAAGCCGGATGTCTCAATACCGGTGGTCCCACTTCGGAGTTCCCGCAGTGAAATTAAATTTCACAATAGACCTCTTTTATCGCAGATGTATGGAGGACGACGAAATGGAATCGTCTCAAAGCTGGGCTGTCTGCTTTTGTTAAGTTGCGACTTAGGCACCTGGGTTCATACTTTCTAACAGATCTGGGGCGCTCACGGTCTAAGTGAGTCTTTTGATCTAACCTTACCTTGTTATGGCATTACAATACTCAGTCGAAAAGAAAATGATTTATCTCCTCTATCAATTGAATCAATCATTCAATTATGTATATGAAAAACGTAATTAACTGACGACATTTGCCACCAAATTTATTTTTGAAAAACTTAAAGGCAAACTCTAAAAAAAGTAAAAGCATTTAAAGGAAACTTGGCAGCATGTAGTTTTTTAGATTCATTTGTAAAAGATGGCGCAATAATAATAATAATATGTAAGTATTAAAAAAGTAAACAAGTTTTTCTTAGATAAATTTCTAAGCTAAAAAGTTGTTTCCCAAATTATTTTCAACTTAAATATCGGTAAAGTTTGTAATGTCATTATATGGGTATTGATATACTGTGTTAAACTGCCGATGCATGTGATCAAATTATAAATTCCATACAAATTTATAATTTTATCATATTAGATTAATACCCCTAATATAAAAACTGAAATTATTTTTTAATCATATTTACACGCTTTACTCACTTAGCCACATTCGCCTCATTCACCTTTTGTTGGTTTAATGAGTAATTTCGCAACGTTCTGAAAGTGAAGGCAGAAAAAATCTTAAATGCGGCAATTAAAATCAAATTAGTCACCTCAAAATACATACCTCATTAAATTCAAGTAAATGGAAAGAACCCAAAAAGACGAATTCAGCACGTCCCAAGCATCTGCGTTTTTAACATCTATGATATTGTGCTCGGACAGCCAGCAAATCTTCTCAATCGGATAATACAGCAAATCCACTATATTTGCTGTTACCCCCAGCACTGCCATTAGCCGATCTGGTTCCTGTGCGCCCAAGCCATATTCTAAGGCATATTGTATCATTGGGATATCATCGATGAGGCGGAGGGTGGCGCGCGCTCCCGAAATACGTGAACTAGTAATAGCATAACGTTTTGCTAACTCGGGATTGCGGCTGGCATGGTAACCGGCTACCAGCTTGGCACTGTAGCACAATGCCTTCATCACCTGAATAAGAGTGCAAATAGTGATTTAATTACCAGCACTGATAAGGAAAGCGTGTACATAAAGCATGAATGAATATTGGTTTTACTATATGTAAATATATACATATGTATTATGTATGCATGTACATTAGGGTGTAGGGTATAACAAGTAATTTTTAGCAAAAAAAAAACCGACTTCAACTCCCATATAAAAATATATATATATATATATCTCATGATCCACTGATCGGATCTCAACCAGTATGGGACCACCTCTGAGATACTACCTTTCCGATGCAAAAAGAATTATCGAAATCGGTTGACGTGGTCCAAAGTTATGCGGTAACATACATAAAAAAAAAAAAAAAAAAAAATATTCCGACGAACTGATAACCTCCTCCTTTTTTGGAAGTCGGTTAAAAACATGCTACAAGCGGTTTTTGGTACGAGGAATCCATTTATCTTTTTCTTAAAACTTCCACCAGAGGGCGCAGCAGTGAAATTCACATTTTCTTCGAAACCGCAATTCCAAACTCGAAATTGATTTTAGACCCATGGTGTCTTCGGCAAATTTGCTTAGAACCAATGATATACGCGCATAATAAAAAAAAATGACCCGCCCTAATATGCATACATAAATATCTGTATACTTATTTATTTCCGTTTAATTAACACTTTGCCACTATAAATTCCTGTGTTGTGTTTGAAAATATGTATGTACATATCGTCACCGCCGCGGTAAAAGCTGCTAATTCCACTTAATAAAATTTTACAGTAGAGCGAAAAAGCATCATAAAGTAATAACTAGGCACCACCTTTAAAATTTTAAATTACCCTTTTGTTGCCCTTTGTATACTTTATTTATGACTTTAAAAAAAAAAATATTTTTTCGCTAAAGTTTTACACGCAAATTCATGAGAAATGAAGAAGACTTTAACTGCTTTATAAATCGAAAATTTTTAGGAAACTGTCGCTTTACAAAGCTTTTCTAGATCAGAACTTTTATTCCATGTCGCTGTTGTTACGTTTCTCTCTCTGGGAGAGCAACTGAGAATGTTCTGAACGCTTTTGAGTTGTTAACTCAACTTCAACATTAGTTGAGAACTAGAATGATGAATTCGCTTTTAAAACTTTTATATTTTTTTATGAATAAGGCCATTAAGTTATAAACCTATGACCAGACATTGAAGATAACCCTCTCCGCTTATTTTTTTATTGTGTTTCTCACTGACAAAAACAAAAATCTCTTAAGCAAAATGTGTTTCTCACCGTGCTAAATCTCTCTGTACGATCTTTTTGTGTTTTCTGCTGTGGGTTTTTTATCAACTGCTTAAATTTCCCTTCCGCAAAGACACTTTGGCAGAGACTTTTATCTTTAATTGTCTTCGTTTTTGGGTTATTGAAAGACAGAAAAATATAAGTAGTCGTACGTAAGTGGAAGAAAAGCGTTAGGCATATCTTTACACGACATATACATACACACACATCTGCAAGCATAAGCTATTTTATTATATTAAGCATTTTTTCATACATATATACCAGTATAAGCAGTATTAAATATTGGTATAGGTGCTATTATATTTAAGTATATTTTGAGTTAGTTTGAGCCAAAAAAAACAGCAAATTTGATATTTTTCTACCCACTTTAACGGTACGCTCTACGCTACGCCGCGGTATAACACCTATTTCTTCTCTCCCAGGGATAAGTATCCGACACCTACAGCAACGCCAATTATATGCGAATAACCCTTTCCACTGAGCAAGAGCATACATCTACAAAAAAATAAATCACCTGTTCTCTGTTGTGGGTTATTTTTTCTCTTAAATAGCAAGAGTTATTTTGAGACACATTCAAAGTGGAGAGGGTTATTTTCGATCTCTGCCAGGGACGGGAATCATTATGATTAAAATAAAATTAGCATTAGATTAAATTAGCATTTAATCATTATTGAGTCTAATTTTTTTGCTCAACGGCAATAATTATTAGCTTTGAGCGAAAAAATAAAAATCATAAAATAATAATTTTATCAAAAAATAAAAATCAGGTAATCACAATTTCCATTGAACGAAAAAATAAAACTCAAATATTAATTATTATCTTTAATCTTTATTTGTTTAACTCGAAAAATAAAAATCATTGTAAATTACAGTAGAACGTATGAACACAAATACATACTTGAATATACATTCATCTCTGTTATAAACGAAAAAAGGGAGTTAGCAGCATTTATTTTGTATAAAAATAAAATAATTGGAGTTGGCAATTTTATAATAAATCAACTTCTGCTGTAAAAAATTGGATAGGTTCAGAGGCGCAGCAGTTGAGCGTAACCGTTGCTAAAAAAATCAGTGATCGTAACACGTCTTCTGAACACACAACATGTTGTCTCAAATGATCAGAAAAATATTTTGTGGAAATGAACTTAATGATTATCTTTTCACATAATGACACGATCATTTTTTAATTCCATACTTTGTCATTTGTCATTTTTGCTATTAAATACCTAGTGGAAACCCAACATAAGGAAGTCACTATTCAAATTTCTTCCGAAGTAAAGCAATCTCAGATAGTAAACTTTTATAGTAGTCTCACGTCGAATAAAAGACCTCCAAAGCCTTAACAGCGTTCTATTTATAATGGCATTCTAGAAATCGCCACGCTAAATTTCTATGGATAAAAATCTCTAAATAAATAACATATGGGCCTTAAAATATGCAACGCGAAGGCGGAAGTGGTTCAATATAAAATCATAAGCAAAATGCTAAGTTACGTTTCCCTGGAGTCAAGCCTAGGTTCAAGCCCTGGCCAAAGCCACATCGCAAAAATATAGAAAAAAGGTTTTTTCTTAACAGCGGTCGTCCCACGGCAGACAATGGCAAACCTCCGGGTGTATTTCTGCCATTAAAAACAGCTTCTTATAAAAAATACAATCGCCGTTCGGAGTCGGCGTAAAACTGTAGGTCCCTCCCCTTAATGTGACAATATCAAGGCGCACGCCACAAATCGGAGGAGAAGGTTTATTCCTTATCTTTTTGGACTAAAATCTGAAAAGTGCCAAAATTCCAGAGCATAATCAAAATGCTCTCACTAAAAGAGAATAACAGGAAAAAGTGAAGGAACGCATAAAACCAAATTTTTGGTCCAAAGAATGGTAACAACAAAACTAACGTCAAATAAAATTAGAAATGTATGTACAAAACACATTCACACAAGTACAAGCACAATAAACACTTACTATATCAATTATTTTTTGCCTCCTTCCAATTTCAATTCACTTTTTTTTACTTTTTAGATTATTCTCACTTTTTGTGTATTCTTTAATTTCCGTTAATTTAAATTCCGTTGAGTTTGACACTTTTCAAGATTTTGCCAGCAAAAATACTTCTGACTAATAGCTGAAATACAATGCCGGCGAACGGCGAACTCACCACAGCGAAATTCGCGCTGTCAAAATTAGAACACCCGCAAGCATATGAAATAGAACACAGCCAAAGCGAAAAGCGAAGTTCGCTTGGCGGCGTTTCATGGCGATAGATTTATTTCTATCGCCCTGCTGGGCGATGACAGCTGTGCGTGCCAAAGGTGGCCGTATTTGTTTTTTGCTTTCAAAGTTTTAAAAGAAAACAACCTAAACACGCTTTATTTTTGCTGTTTGAAAAATATAGTTGTGGATTCGTTAAATCTGGCTTGAAACAAATTATTTATAATAATCTTTCTTTGTTTTACAATTTATATTTGTTATCCTTTCCTCATTTCTAAATATGGTTTAGTTTTTTCTAAATATGGTCACCCAAATTATAAAGGCGACCAAATGGGATCAGCTGTTTTCGCTACCGCTCTAATTCTGTTTAAGTAGGCGAAATAGTTGGGCGAACGGTGAACGACAGCATCGCCCAGTTCGGCGAAATTTGCCGTTCGCCGGTATTGTATTTCAAGCATAAATCTGAATACTTCGGACTGAAGAGAGTCACTCTCACTGAGTGTTGCTCTCTCATTTTTGCTGTCATTTTCGAGTTAAGGAACGCTTTTTGGACTAAATCTGACTACTTCGGACTTTTTCTGACTATTTCTGTGAGATAAGGAACGCAATTAGTAAATGAAGTGAAACTCAATGCTTGCTCGCCACCAAAACAAACGCTTGCTCTGATCCAATACTTTTCGTGCAAAATCCTGTAAAAATGTCAAAGAGCAAAATTACTCTCTGAAGTGAGAGTAAAAAGTGAGTAACAACAAAAAGTACGGGAACAAGAAAAGCATTTTGCCTGTAAAACGTCAACCAGTGATCACTTGGCACTTTTCATGATTTTACCAGAAGAAAAAGTTCGCATAAAATCTTGCAACTTCATTCTCTACACAACTCTCCAAAATCGCTCTCATTTACAGGATTTCGGAACGAGGCCAACTCCCATCTTTTTGCGCGGTTTGACAATCAGCCGGTTTGATATTTATTTTGTTTCGCCCAAATTCGAGTTTTCACGTAGATACATAAAACTTAATTGCATTGCTGATATTTTCAAAGCATATATTTTGCTGCAATTTCGACGATTAAAAAAGTAGTACAAAATTGTTTTCTTGGCGTTCATTGTGGCACACCCTTTACGCTTGGCGCTTTGCTGGCAAAGTTATAAATGTCACGCGAAGCTACAAAATTTTATCTGGCATCAGCTTTATGGTATTAAAAATTTATGGACTAAGGCGGCCAAGCACCCAAAATAGGCAATTATCTACAAACAGTAAATTGAATAAACAAAGTGCGATGCACGCGATTAAAATTTTTTATTGTTCAAACACTTCATCGCCTACTACATACCTACATATGTACATACACACATACATATAAAAGAGTTGATTTAGCATAGTTTTTAAACTACATATTTCTTTCTTGGGTTAAATACATGGTGAAATTATAAAAGAGCGAGAAGAAAGATTTGACATTATCTTGTTTGAAAATTTGCGTTTCATACGCCGATAAAATACATACACTGAAGATTACAAATTTCTAGTCAAATAAGCTGATAATATAGATGGTATGTATGTACAAACCAAATCGTTTTCATATTCGCAACTTTAAGGCGACCCTAAATACCTATTATCCCAATGGAAATGCGTAAAACTCTGTGAACATTAGGCATGGTACATACTAAAAGATGTGCATTAGGGCGGCCCAATTTGTATGGCAGATTTCTTCGACGTATATCGTGTAATTCTAAGCAAATTTGCCGAAGAAACCATGGGTCCAAAAACAATTTGCAGTTTGGTCAATTGCGAAAAAAAGGTTTCCAAGCATTTCGGCGTAGTGTCGTAAAGAAGTGCTTAAGTTTTGTACGAAAACATGCTACAGGTACGAGGTTTTGGTATGCATTCAAATCCATTTCCAGCACTTATCTTTTTCTTCAAACTTCCACCAGAGGGCGCAACGGCGAAATTCCCACATTTTCCTCCAAATTGATTTTAGGCCCATAGTTTCTTCGGCAAATTTGCTTAGAATTGCACGCGGAATCCTCGAGAAATTTACCCGCTCTAATGTACATACATAAATATGTACATATGTATGAAAAAAACTGCAGGTATAAAAAATCGTTTGGAGGTGCCCCTCCCTAGGTTACAAGTGCGTAATATAACTCGATGGTATCCAAATCCTATTTCTAATCCGATAACATAAAATAAAATATGTACAGGCCTGCGCTACATTCATATGTACCCGAGTGGTCAGCTGATTAAGTTAAGTGATAGATGCAATCCCGTATTCCTCGGACTTAAACTAGTAAAACTGTCAAAAAATAAAAATTCGCTCATAGCGAGACGTAACATTAAAAAGTACGGGATCACTTTCTAGAAAAAAATGGGAACTTACGTCAAATTCAACATAACCTCCAAATTTTGGTTGCAAATTTTTGCTTATTTTGTATGTAAACACGCTCAGCTCACACATGTAAATAACCAAAAATTCTTTCAAATTCATTAGAATCCCCCTAAACAAGTAATTAAATACTTTTCAACGTGAATTTGCAGAGTGCACTTTTCTTTTGTTTACAATTTGGTTGCCAAACGCACTACAGCTGATCGTTTGACACATTTACCAGAATTTACCAGCAAAAAATCTTCGGACCAAAACTGGTAACTTCTGACAGAGAGAACCTTATTTACTCTCTTTTTGTCTTGACTATTTCTGACTAGTCCGGACTCGTACGGGATCGCAACTGATATTTTGAGCAATTTTGGCCATTTTTTTTACTTCTTATTTTTTCAACAAACTCTAAAGGCAGTGTCACAATTGGTGCATTGGTCACATTTGTACATCTATATATATAATACGCGAAGGAATTTTTTGTTCGGCATAAAAGATCTGCACCGTTCGTTCGATTTTCAAAACTGGGGTGTCAAATTAAAGCGCTTGGCCTGTAGATGAGCAAACTGGTTTTATTTTTATTTTTTGGAAAAGAGTTGCCACCTATTGAACAATTAAATTCAAATTATTCAAAAATTAAAGCCATCATATCCGCACCGTTTGTTCGATTTTCCAAAATGAGGTTTCAAATTAAAGGGCTAGGACTGTATGTGCAATAACGTTTCACATTTTCGAAAAGAGTTGGCGCCTTTTGAAAAATTATATTCAAATTATATTCAAATTATAATCAAATTATTAAATCAAATCTATTATTACAAAATGGGTATAAACCGAAATGGTTTTGAAAAGCTTTTCTCTTAGCTGAACTATGTGAGGGTTGCCACCTGTTTAAAAAATCATGGTAGGTAAGAAAAATATGTATCCCATATGGGTACCAAATGAAAGGGATTTCATTAAGTAGAAGTCTGAAAATATTTTGAAGAGGGTTGCCACTTGCTAGAAATGTCGGATTTAGTTTACTTATACACAAGTTATATGAAACATCAAAATATGGATGTGAAACGAAGGAGTGTTAAGAAATCTTTAGTTTGAACGCTAAGAATATTTTTAAGGCGCTGAAAGAGGGTTGCCACCTGTTTAAAAAGTTAAATTTAAACTATTTAAGTTAAATGAATTATTAAAATATGGGTATCACTCGAAGGGACGTTGAAAAACTTTTATTTCTGAACTGTATTTAGCGGGGTTGCCACATGTTTAAAAAATCAAATTCAACTTAATTCATCAGTTAATTAAAATATGAATCACAATGTCAGACGAATGTTATTTAAGGTTTTAGCATGAAACTGCTTTTGAAGTGGGTTTCCACCTGATTAAAAAGTTGCATTAAAATTATTTAGAAAGTTATATGAATTAATAAAAGATGGAAATTAATTGAAATGGGTTTGAAAAGCTTTATTTCTGTTAGCTGAAATAGGTATCACAATGTTAGATTTAAAAATACTTTAGTTCGAAAAAGTCTTTGATATAGTCGAATTTGTTTAACTTGTACGCAAGTTTTATGAAATATTAAAATATAAGTGTCAATCGAAAGAGATTTATTAAAACTAAAGTTGCATTAAAACTATTTAGAAAGTTAGATGAATTAATAAAAGATGGATATTAATTAAAATGGGTTTGAAAAACTTTATTTCTGTTAATTGAAATAGGTATCACAATGTTAGACTAAAAATACTTCAGTTTGAAAATGTCTTTGATGTAGTCGAGTTTGGATAACTTTTACGCAAGTTTTATGAAATATTAAAATATAAGTGTCAATCGAAAGAGATTTATTAAAAATTTATTTTCAAAATATCTTTGATTAGGCTTGCCACCTTTTCGAAAAGTCATACCAATCTCACAAAGTATAAACATATATTATACGAAAAGAAAAATTTTGTAAATATGGGAGGTGGCACAGAATAATTTGATACTTGATGACATTAAAAACCGCCACTATTTGAGACCTCCCTTAACCCAGAAACAGCTGCATCGATTTAGATGAAATATGACACTTGGATCGCTTATAAATCTACGTGT